CAACAATCAAAAATTGATTAATCGTTGATATTTACAAATCAAAAAATCGTTTCTAAGCCCCGATTTGATGTGGAAGGACCCATATACTAGAGTTTGGAACCGGTTTTATTTTTCATATGTTAAACCTGGTTTAATCGGTTTTAACATATTAAAAATAAAACCGGCTCCAAACTCTAGTATATAATTTACTCCTAAGATGAGTGAGAAAAAAATTAATTTTATTAGAAATCTCTATTATATTATACGTATATGTATACAAAATTATTTATCTAGAATGGATTATTTTAAATACTGAAATATACGTATAAAAAATAATTTTTGAAAAAAAAATTTCCTACAAGTAAGCCGACATTCTATGATATGAATGTGCGAATAACTTATCCGGAAAGCTATTGCGAACTTATCGACCGCAAGCCAGACATGAATCCAGGACCTACTAGTAGCCCACGACTGTTCAATATGATTATAAAATTAATTTATTTAGCGTTAATAAAAAAGATTAAATTTTGAATTAGCAGTTTTGCATTTTAAGATCTTTATAATTAAAATATTTTTAATAAATGATAGGTTTACAGATAATTCCTGGAACACCTGATAAAAATTGGCCTCGATTAAGTATGTAATTTCGGGCACGATCCGTATACCGTATTGACGCGTAATAACGCACATGGGCGTTATTTCGAAATTCATATTTTTTTGAAAATTGTTCTTTTTGACTCTAAATAACGCCCATGCGCGTTCTAAAATAACGCGTCTCCTTAAATGTACCATATTACACATTTTGATCAAAATTTTCAGGCTAAGTTCATTATTAAACCCAAATTTGTCAAAATGATTCGAATTACCGCGCATGCGCGTCCCAAAATAACGCGCCAATACGGGAATATAATGTGTCAATTAAGTCTTAGCAAGAAGTATAAAAAATGTACTATATATTAATTAGACTTTTATAATAAACATATTGCACAAAGTACATACAAGTTTGTTCGTAGCCCTTCAAATTTGTCATAACGTCTAACCAGAGTTCCATTTCAGATTGTAATTCATACAAATACCAATCGGAATTTTTTTTTTCATTAAAGTTTTAAAATATTTTGTATCATTCATGTTCAGTGAAGCAATTCTTGAATGTGTGCCAGGTTTATGGCGAATTAACCAGCTACAATGTTTCAGTACGTGCGGTGCATTCGCAAAATTTCTTTTTGACGAAATTTCCACCATGTGCTTCGTCAACCGTCCTGTACTTTGAATATTTCTATTTTTCTTTTGTGAATTGAAGACATAACAGAAATATATAAGTAGAGTATTCGGTAAGGTTAACAAACAAGACTTATAAAATTTGGTTTTAAAAGTGATACGTCTTTAACAATAAGGAACTCTTTTTTAAGCACAGATTATGAGAAAAACTTTTTTTTTATAAACTATTTAGTACGTGTTTATTTGAGATTTATTATCATACTTTTAAAGCCAATATTTTCTTATACGCGTATTACTTTGACGTTCTGGTCTGTAAAAATTTTGAAAATTATAATTCATAAACATTATACAGTATAAGTAAAAGAATACGAGTATTTCTTTGAATTAAACCAAAAATATTAAAAGCTAATGATTATAAAAAAAATGAAGCTTTTTCAAAAATAACAAAATAACAAAAATATAATTCGTGTGGAAATAATGTGAAAAAATGTGTTTTCGTTCTATTAAAATTCATATTTTTTGTTACGTACTGGAATTTTTAATTGGCGACATCCATATTTTTGAAAGTGCTTAAAGATATGCTAAACCTAAGTGTTTGATTATTTTTTTAATATTTTCCAGCGAAGATGCTTTGAAAATATCATATTTCTGTATTCTACCAGAGATACAATATTCAATAATATTTATATTAATTACCTGATCTTAATTACGATATACTGCGTATACTCATACTGGATTACCTTTAGCACGTTGATTTAAGATCGATGATTACATACATACGTACTTACTTTTTGAAACAATAAGTAAACCAAGTATCGATCTTCAATCAAAGTGCTAAGGTAATCCGGTATACGGGTATACTCGAAAAAATTTTTTTTTCCCATTTCGAAAAACGCGATAATTAAAGCGAATCAATACCATTAAACTACAGTATATAATCAAGCATAATCAAACATATCACAGTAACTTTTTTATTAAAGTTATAAAACTATCTATATAATAAATTTTCGATTTAAGTCTAAACTAAAAAAATTAAAGCTAATTTTTATAAAAAAAAGAATGAGATCTATAATAGCATTATAGAAGTTTACGAATCTACCCTGCATAAATTCAATTATGGATTTAAAAAAATGCATTGACCAAACTTGAAAGTACCGCATCACAGTTCACTTTCGCTGCAAAACGTATGCTATTTATACTATCATCAAGTTCATGAATATCTTTAATATGCTGTTTAACTATTTTGATACTACTCGGTTTAATTGCGTTGCAAAGACGACATTCAAAGATTGGTTGGTTTCGAAGGCTACCAACGTGTAACGCTCCATCTATATCAAGAAATGATGGTGGAGGGGCTGTCCCAGCTGCGTCAAGTTGCCCAGCTTCGTTAATGAGAGTTGGTAGAAAATTTTTTTCGAAAAATTCTTGAGAATATTCTTTGAGGTCCGGTGGGTTTAAGAAACTTGGACATATAGGCAAATATACATATAGTGTGTCCCGAATGTTTAAAACTTGACGCTGTGATTTTCTCTCTGAACCATATGTCAATTTCTTTAGAAATTTAACAATTATGGTTTGTTTTTGAATTATTCCAATTTTTTGCGCGATTTGCAAAATTCTTGATTTATATTGCTGCAAATCCAGTGCTAAAAAAGGATTACTTTGGACTTCAGTCTTCAATCTTTTGTATTCGTGATCTTTTTGCATCATGGATAAAGTTTCTTTATTAATTTTAGCATGCAATTTTAAAAAACTATTATATCGTTTTATAAGGTAGGATTGACGTAAATTAAGCATCCATTTTTCATAATGTTGGGCTTCTTTATATTTCTTTTCGACATCTTCTCGTAACGCGCGTCGCATATTATCATTAGCACTTTTATAAAACGCGTCAACATTCTTAACATAATCGATCCAATAATATGTAAGTTTATGTCGAGATTCTGGTAAATCTACGCTTGGTGTTACGGGTACAATAAGTCCAAGAATTTCATTATCGATCTTAAATTTTAATTTAAGTATCTCAGAACTATTAAATATAATTAATAAAATTTTATTCAGATTATCCAAAAAAAAATAAATATAATACATATATATATATAAAATAGTAAATTAATTTACCAAAACGCTCTTGAGAGCATACAATTTTGACAAGAGCGAACACCAGGAATCCAATATATTGTCAACGGTTTCTCTTTAGTTTTACAAAATTGACAACCCTTCTCAAAGGTTAATAGCCTCGCGAAAGTTTGTTGATTCATTTCTGACGGTGGTTCCTTATCTTGAAAAACCGTAAACCTGATTCTAGAATTTCTCCAAATTTCTTCTGCTAACGGGTTGATACTTTCGTCCAAAATATTTTTAAAATATTTGCACACGCATACCATCGCGAGAAGATCTGACGGCTGCAAATTATAACAGATAAATTTGAATATTTTTTCGTCTTGCATTTTTTTTTATTATCGTGTATACGTGTTAAAAAATTGTAAAAAATTGTTTTCATTTTATATGTATAAGCTAGCTGCAGGGGTGAAAAATTACACTGATCTGATGAATCGCGTTGATAAAAACGACCCACGAAAAAACGGGAGCCGGACGGATTTTGTCGGGTTACACATAGTTTCGGATAAAACGAAAATCTTCGTTTGAAGTATTTTTCTGATGTGAAATTGCATGGCTTTCTAATATAAATCAAAAAAATCTAACGATGTCTATATATTTTTTTAGATTCATGCTTGAAATTCGACTTTAATATAATAGAAAAATTGATGTACACAAAACTGATGTATTTTTTATATAAATGTTTTTAATAAACAAAGAACATATTTGTTTTTTGTTTTTATAAATGGTATAAAAAAATTTTTTAGATGAATTAGTGGAATGATTATCCAATAAAATCAAACATATGCATTTATATGTTAATTACAGTAATGTGTATTAATGAAGCTAATTTATAAATAAATATTTTAATCTATATATGAAGGTTGAACAATCTACCTAAATCTGCAGAATGTCTAAAAGATTCTTTTAAAAAAACAGTCCAATTTGACCATTCTACAAACATCAATGCTCAAATTACCATTTGTTTCATTAACTGTTCTTCATAAAATTTTTTCCATAATTCGGGCTTTCCATCATAATCTAATTGGCTCTCAAATTTAAATTTTATTTAAAAAAAAAAAATACCAAAAAGAACCAATGAAAGGAGTTTAGTAATTGTACGAATTGAAGCAAAAATATATTTATCATTAACGATATCAATTATAATCTGGTTCACTTGTAAGGAATCAAGTAAATCTTTCTATTAATTTTTTTTTTTAAAAAAATAATCCTATTTATTAAACAAAAATCTCTTAAAGTAAGCTAAGATTAAGTACTAAGTTATATACTTTTAAAATATATTTTTGACCAAGCTCTTTCTTGACAAAAATGTTCAACAATTGGCTTAAAATGTCAAACAAAATAATTCTATGTCCGCCAATTGAATTCTAACCAAATTTTAGTAGTAGCCTATTATAAATAGAAATTTTTATGAACAGGTTTATAAACGAAAGCAATGATTTACAGTATTAAATAAAAATTATTGAACGATCACATACGCAACAAATTTTATATGATATGAAGGATGAATGAATAATAAGGTTGGAGGAATAAGAATCAACTTGAGTAAATAATCTTTTTTTACTATTGTAAATGAGATTACAATGTCTTCAAATTTAGGCATCTTCTTTTATGATTATACAATTTAATTAAATTTTAATATATGAATAATACGAAGAAATAATAAGATCATACTATAATCTTAGAACCTACATCACCAAAAATAAACATTAACAACAGGATTAATGATTATTCGTGAGAACATGCCATAAATATTTCTGAAAATTATTTAGACTATCGTCAAGATCATAAGAATTTCTGATATGTTGTTTAACTTGTTTGATACTACACGGAGTAGGTTTGTTACAAAGACAACATTCAAAGGCTGGTTTATCTTGAAGGCTACCAACTTTTAATGTCCATCTATTTCAAGAAAATATGGTGGATGGACTGTACTAGCTGCGTCAAGTTGGCTAGCTTCTCATCTGAGAGTTGGTATAAGTTTTCTTAAAAAGAATATTCTTCGATACCCGGTGGAGTTAAGAAACTTGGCAAATATACATATAGTATGTCCCGAATGATGCCTGAGGCATATGTTAATTACTTTAAACATTTAACGATTATTTTTTGTTTTTTAGTTATATTTTTCAAAAATTTGTCCTTTGATGGAACCAGTGTAGGCGGAAAATTAGGAAAATTGGTGCTTGTGAGATTATTATAAATTCTTTGGGCGATTTGTAAAATTCTTGATTTATAATATTGCTGCCAATCCTGTACCAAAAAAGGATTACTTTCGATTTCAATCTTCAATTTTTTGTATTCATAATCATAATATTCTTGCATTTTAAATAAAGTTTCTTCATCAATTTCAGCGTGAAATCTTGAAAAAAGTCCAAGGTAGATTTGATGTAAATTAAACATCCAATTTTCATAATTTTGGGTTTCTTCATATTTCTTTCCGACATCTTCTCTTAAGCTATTTAACGCGCATTGCTTATTATCATCAGCATTCATAAAAAACGCCTTAACATGATCGATCCAATAATGTGGAGATTCTGGTAAATCTATGCTTGGTACAATGAGTCCAAGAGCTTCATTATCAATCATTTAAGTTATATCAGAACTATTAAATATTATTAATAAAATTTTATTCAGATTCAAATTATTACAAATATATATATATATATGTAAAATAGTAAATTAATTTACCTAAAAACATATAGCGAAAACCAGGAATCCAATAGATTGTCAATGGTGCTCTTTAGTTTTACAAAATTAACAGCCCTTCTCAAATGTTAATAGCCTGAAAAGGTTTGTTGACTCATTTCTGACGGTGGTTCCCTATCTTGAAAAACTGTAAACCTAATACTAGAATTCAAATTTCTTCTGCTAAGGAAAGTATGATTTTGATGTACCAAATCATGTGATTTTGCACGTACTGAATATAGGGATCCTCATTTTCTGCTGCGATAGACCCCAAATTCTGCCTGCTTTACAAATCAGTTTATGCGAATTATGCGATAAATTTTCTAGAATTATGCGAATCAAGTAAAATTATGCGAAATAGTTGCAACTAGAATTTCATTTTTTATATCTTAAACCCGATTAAAACAGCTTATAATTGCGACTAGAGGTGTGAATGTTTACCGTAATTATAATGTATTATAGCAAAAAATGCCCATAACTCATTATAGTTACAAGCTACGTTATTTACATTCACACCTATAGTTATCAAAACTTAATTCACGTGCTCATGTTAATTTGCTGTCTACATTTCCAAATTCTCACAACTTTCAATAAAATAACAATAATATTTATTCTGCTATTCTGCTCTAATTTTACCATTTATGCGCAGATTATGCTCTATTAATTATGTGAAATTGGTTCTAATATGCCAATATGCTATCGCATATGCTATTGCAATATAATCTGATTTATGCTATTGCAAATCGGCGGTATTATATCACCTCTATAATCATGCTGTTTGTTTTTTACAAAAAAGATGTGATTATAAAATTTCAATAGTAATGAGATTATATAGAGTTTTTTTAATAAATATATTGCCAGTAATTTTTCAAAAATGGTGCTTATAAAGAGGGTGTGATTATATAGGAGGTGACTATAGAGGAGGATGACTGTATAAATGTATATACTGTACATAAGTTGTTGAAGTAGAATTTTTTCTCAAGAAGATGGAGATTTTTTTCAATCTTTGAATCATAAAATTTGATGAAAATTTATTTAAATCATTTCTAATAATTTATAGAATTGATTTAAAAAACTTTTTATTGAATTTAGTTAGTTAGTTGTCAGGAAAATTTTTCCAGAATTTTAAAAAATTCTACTTTGACAACTTACATATGTACACTCCTCTGACAAAAGTCACCGGCTTTTCAATAATTACAAAGATCTAACTTAATTTGTTGATGATCGTAGCTTCATATAAAGTATTATTTTTTATATGCAAATCAGTCTTTGCATAGTAAGTAAAGTTGTTTACTGTGATGATTTGTATACAATTTGAAAAAATTTTAAAATAATTTTGGTAAATTTCTTTTGTTATTTTTAGCATTTTAGATGTTATAACCAAAAAATAAAAAGAAAATAAATAAATT